TATATATATATATATATATTGAAATTATCTCGTAATTTTCTTCATTGACTAATTGAGGGCAGACTTTCTCCTCACAATAACCAAAGTCTTATCTCTGTTAGGTTGAGGAGCTTAATTTAGTTGCAGGTCAACTTTTATTATTATTATTATTATCATTAAAAATGTGTGCAATATATATTTGTTGAGTTGTATGATTAACGTGATATTTATGTATTTATAGTTATATAACACCGAAGCATTCATATTTATAAACAAACCACTAAAATTTTTAATATTATAGCAAAGATACCATCATTACCATATTGTTAGAGATAAATTATATATTTTCATAAATAGGTTTATGACACCACCATGATGTTATAAATGTAAATATCACACTTTAAGGGTTAAATATATAAATAAATAAGAATTGTGAGGTATGTTGGCAAATTTGCCTATATATAAAATTCAAAGGGTTGTAATATGAAGGTGAGGGGACACCAAATTTTAGATTCAAACGAGCTGATCTTGTTTGGCTCATTTTTAGCTCATTTATATGATAATGTACTATACATTTATTTATATCTAAATTTAATCGCCAAAATTTGTGTTGACATGTGGTTCGGAGCGTGTTATTGCGTAGGAGTTATGGAAGTTCGAATCTATTTTTCTAATTAATTTAAACAAGATAATTTCAAGAATGATCATAACAATGATGCATATTCGAATCAAGCAACATACATATATTTTTTTAATTAATTTAAAAGAGCCAATTTGAAGTAAAACATGAACAAGAATATTTAAAACAAAGTGAACACGAACATACCATTAACAAGCAATTTTGCGCATGAGCCAATTTCGAAAAGAATTAACTTCAAACCCGAGCTGATCAGGAGCAAAGCCTGATCTTGCTCAAGCTTGACTTATTTAAAGCCCTAACGTCAATGAGTTTCTTGCGATCATAAAAAAACTTCACTAATTTATAAGGAAATGCTGTAAAAGCAAGAAGTTTATAAATGCAATTACAAATTTATTTGTGGACCAAATAAACTTGCAAATATGGACATTCTGAACCTTCCAACTTTCATATATATATATATATATATATA